ATAGTGGATGGTTACAAGCAAGAAGGGAGATGGGAGGTGCTTATTTTATTACCACTCATATAATAACAATCAACTGCTTTAATTGATTTATATTTTATTCTTGATTTTACTTTTTCTAATTAGCTATTCTTCTTAGACAAATGCACCATAATATAAGTAGTGGCAGAAATTGAACCTATGCCAAGAAAATACACTTGGGTCAGTAAAGGTAAGAACCTATCTAGATGATATGTTTGTCATGGTTAAAGTCATTATGTCATATAACAAGTCCCATAATCCATTATAGTCATGGGGATGTGACACAGTCATACCAGCAGAGGTGAGTTTATAACAAGATTAGCTTTATGGAGCCTATTCCTCTTCTGAATTGTCTTTAAATTCAATTTTTCTTTCTTAGAGCCCAGTCAGCACTGCTATTTAGCCCATAGGTGCCTGAGGAGAAGAGAAGTATTCATGCCTTTCCCATGAATATTTGTTCACAAGTAAATGAACAAAACTGAAATTCTAACAATGCATTGTTTTTCTTTTCTAAATCCCTAACCATTACAATACCCACACATTCTATGGCCGGGGCATTAAAATATATGTAGATTTTTTTTTTTTTTTTATTAAAATATATAGAGATTTTTTGGCAACTTTAATCTTCATACATACAAAAAAAAAATGGTGTGTCAAAAGGATGGTTTTTCCCTTGACACTGCTATTATTTTAACTACCTTCATTCCTTGACAATGTTTATTGTTCTAAATAGTGATAAGAATTTTTAAAAAAAGTAAATATATATTGAAAGTGAATTTAATCATTTTCTTTATTCTTGAGAATTGACAACAAAAATATTAAACACTATTTATTTATTAGATTTTTTATTTACAAGAATAATTTTATATAATAAATATGAAAATAATTTATATTCATAAATTTATGAACATTTACTAAATTATTAAAACATGTGAACGAACTATAAGGAAATCCTTATTATTTGCCATTTTCTAAAATTTGAATTGAATGGCAATTTTAAGCCAATACTTAAAGCTTTTGCATCAGTGACAGAAAGTTTGATGTTAGAAATGTTGTAGATAAGATTGGGGATAAAAGATCACTTTCTATCTACTGTGGATGCATAAGTTGTGAAGCTTGTGTTTTAAACAATTTATTTGTATATTGTTTATGTATGATATTGTTTGTTGAAAGCTCTCAACTCTAGAGTTAGAAAGAATGTTTTCATTGCATAGAATTCTAACATCCTTTTTAACTCTGAAACCTGAATCTTATCTACAATATTTCTAATATCAAATTTTCTGTCACTGAAGTGGAGGTTTTAAGTGTTAGCTTAAAATTTGCCATGAGACAATATCACAAGTTTAACTAAAAACCATAAATTTGACCACACCAAATTTGAAAAAGGTTTCATACAAAATTATCTTTGCAGCCACCTTTACAAATACCGATGAAACTACTTTACTCAGGAGATATATATACTGGCATTAAAAAACATATCCAGGAATAAAAACATTATCATAACCACACTTGATAAAGGTGGTAGAATAATTATAATGGATATGAACGTATACATGGAAAAATTAGAATCTCTCTTAAAGGATGACAATACTTACGTAAAACCAACAAACAAATAGTAAATATAGATAAACAAAACTATTAGAAAATGAAAACAAATCCTGGACTAGATTAACAGAATACCACCCTACTACACCCACACTATATGTCTTATCCAAAACTAGGTACCTCCAGTCAATTTTTTGATACCTAAGGTTTAAAATGAATTTTTAAAAATGAAAAAGCATTCTTAAAGATTTTATTTTAGCATTAATTGAAAGCTAAAGGATTAACTTTATCATTTCCAGTAAGTAAAACATTCTGGTATATTTCAGATAGAAATTATATAGATTGGAATGTCAAATATATGCTTGATTTTTTTTTTTTTTAATTTCTTAAAAAGTGGCCATTTTCTTAAATTTTAAGAAATTTGTAAACAAAAAATTTTTTCGATTTTAAACTTCTTCCTAAAATAAATTATATATTTTTGACACATTATTTGAGTAAAATTAGAAAATTTAAAGTTAAATTAATCTGATTTGAAACAAACATTACTTATTTATAGCATAAAAAAATTGTATCCAAACATTTCTTAACAATGTGCCTGAATTTTCTTGTGACTTTATTCATGTTATCGATGTTATTGAGAAGTTACGAGGTGATGACAGCTACTATGGAGAACCAAAATTTATATAATTTTACTAAATGTAAGCGAACAAATTTTTTTGGTTTTTAACTAGTAATTTTTAAAATATTACCATTTTTTCAGCAATTATATAATATTTATTTTTTATTTAATACTTTTTTTTTTAGTCTGGGTTTCGTTTCTTAAATACTTAAAATAAAAATATTTAGTAAAAAAGTAATTAACACAACTAAAACTTAAAAATTTTGAAAGGACTCTTTGCAAACACGTTAACGATGTGAAACAGAACTGGATATTGAAGGGAAATAATTGCAGTGCCTCAGACGACAATCAAATCACATGACATTTTTTAAGGATTATGTCATGTATAGATTCCCATAGATAGAAATTAGAAATTTTTTCACTAAAAATTATTTTAAAATATTCAGGTACAAACAACTGTTATGAACTTTACAAATTTCAATTTGTAAATTTACTTTTCACTTAACCATATCACCAAATTGCATGTTTAAAAGCAATGAAGAATTTTAAACGATTCTTGAAGTAAATAAATTTTTTAAAAAATGAAAAAATTCTTGTAAAAATACATTATTCATCAAAAAAGTTTTATTTCTTCAGATAATAATGTTCTTAATATAACTTATTTACAAAAGCAAGTAAAAGCTTTTCTAATTAAATAATGTCATAGTCTTTTTTACATTTTTTTTTTTACAATTCAGAACAGATTTTCGATGAAACTGGTAAATGTTTTACAAAAAAAAACGAAAAAAAACTGGTGATTTACTTTCTCTAAAGAGGCCTGTTTTTAACTAATAAAAAAAATCCTAGTCTTAAAAATTTAATTTCTCAAAATTTCATGAAAATATGTAGTGGGGTGGAAACATATAAAAAAAAAAATTTTTTTACCAAGATTTTCTTAAAAAAACAAAATTTCAAAAATAATTTCATTCATTTCTGAATATTTCCTGAAAGTTTTATTAAAATTCGACAATTATTTGAATTTTGCAATCTACGTGTGTTTTCCTTGGGAAAAGTGCAAAATAAAACAAACTTTTTTCTCTTTTCGAATGCTGTCGTAAAAAAAAAAAAAAAAAGATTTTTAACCAAAATTTTCAACATGCCAGAAAGGAGTAAAAAATTTCAAAATATAATAAAAAATACTTTGTTCTTTCCTCGTAATAATAACAAATATTTTGATGACAAAACTTTGTTGAATTATGGGGCTTTTTTCATCATGCTATGCTGCTTTTTTACACGACCTACTGGAGGTACCTATCTAAAGCATACAAAACCAGCCTAGAATACCTAGGTGAAGAAGAGAAATATATTAAGAAAACATTTACACTTCTTAAATACCCACATCATTTCATCCTCAATGCTAGAAAATGAACTTACAAAATTTACTAATACAAAAAACTAGAAACCACGAATAACACTTAACTAACAAAAATAATACAAAATTCATGATCCTACCCTCTAACACTCTTTTTACTAAACTTGAAAATAAATTAGTAAATCCCTAATACTAGGATCTTTATCACCACATTCAAGACAATTGGGGATATAATTAGGAAGAAAAATACTAATTAAAATTCAGTAATTATCAAATAATTTGTTTACAATTTGAAATTATCCTGAAGTTTTAATAAAAGTGAAACATGTTAGATTAATAAACATTTCCTATTTGCTTTTTATGTTACCACACACACACACATTTTTTTTTTTTTTTTTTTTTAGAAATTTCTACTTATGTAGGTTTCTCTAAAAATTCCCCAAAAAGATGATACATGATGAAAAAAATATGCAAAACAACAAAATTTTATCATCAAAATCTTTATTATAAAGAGGTGAAAATGAAAAGATTTTTTAGTGTAAAAATAATTTTTTTTAATCCCTTTTAGAACCTTGGAAATTTTGCTTAGAAATCTTGTTTTTCTGGTGTCAATGTAGAACCATAATGAAAAAAAAAAAACATTGATTTGAAAATTCTTGTAAAAATCAGATACTTGTTGGATTTAACGAAATTTCAAGACTTATTCAGAAATGAATTAAATTATTTTTTAAATGTTCATTTTTTAGAAAAAGACAGGACACCTCACCTAGTTACAAAAATCTGCTCTGAATCTTAAAATAAAAAAAGTGAAAGAAAACTATGGTATTATTTAATAAGAAAAGCTTTTAATTACTTTTAGAAATAAAATATATTATGGGCACTATTATCTTCAAAAAAAAATTTGATATATAATGAATTAATTTTTAGTGACCAATTAATATTGTTATTAGATTAAAACTGTACTTACTAATCATATATAATCATTATAAAAACTTGCTACAAGTCAATGATACCCTTCCTAATATTTTAAAAAGTATTTTGAATTTCTTTGTGTGTATAAACATCCCAATTTTTGTAAATAAGGAAGTCCATACACAACATTATCAGAAAATAAGAGGGGTACCTATAGTAAAATTAAAATTTATTGGCAATTTTCTAACATTTCTTCAACAAGCATTTTCATATGTAATGCTCTAAAGCAAAATAACCTAAAATTCAATAATATATTGGAATGCTTAAAATATTTAAAATTTTTAAGATTACTGGGTAGTTAAAAAAAATTATATAAAAAAAGGCATTCACATTTTCATTATATAATTTTTCTAGTTATTGTCCCCTTTAGTTAAATTTCTCAAACATCAGGCTTCCAAAAAATCACTCAATACTTCAAAAAACACCCACTCCATCTTAAGATGCTTTTCTCCAATATTTTAAAATAAAAGTTTAAGAGTAGAAATAAAAATTTACTTCTCCATTTGAAGTCTGTACTAGGAAAGGCTCACTCCAAAGTAGGATGCCTGTTGTATCTCTTTCAGAACCACCTCGCCATGGGAATCCTTCAAGTGGTGTATTTAAATCTCCCAGCCATTCTGGTGAACCCTAAAAAATAAAATTAGAAATGAAATGATCAAAAAATTATTCTGTAACCTTATTTTATGAATTCAGTACTCAACTAGCAGGAAGTAAATACTGAATAAATAAATATCTAAGTTTTTAATATGTATTATTAATAATGTTATAGACAAGCGTATGGTTGCAAGAAAGAAATACGACAACAGCAGAAATAGATTTACGTGGTTTATTTCAACAGGAACGTGAGGGTTTGGGACAGCTACCTTGTGGTAAAGTTCATAAGCCGGTTTTCGGATCTGGTCGATCTCTCATAGTAGTTCACACATGATGACAGTGGTTGACGATCCCCTGCTGTCAGCAGCTGAACGTGACAGGTCTCTATCCTGGGCACCTGTGGACTGCCTGTTGAACTTCCGTGTGACCCCTTTATAGTGATTTTATGGCTTAACAGGCTCGAGAAATGAAGGAGTATAATTAGGAGGGAAGCATTTTTATTGGACAAAAATAGAGCACTTTAAATATTATTTTATTTTTCAACCCGGAACACGCAAGTGTCGGGAACATTTGTAAAGAAAGTTAATGGTCATTTGTGACGGGGCTTTGTCCCGTTCACATCCGGTTCTCGCTCTTGAGTATTTGCCTGTAAATCAGCCGAGATATGTCTTATTTTGTTTTATAACAATAATAATAACATTTATTATTAAATTTTAAAATATTTTAAAAGCATAACAATCAAATACTGTTCTTAGTTACAATAGCATTTTTTTTTTATTTGATTATCTTTTAAGTTGATAAACTTAATTTTATTTGTGCATGGTAAATTTTATTCTCATCCAGTATCCCGAATGTTCTAGATTGTTCCAGATAATTTATATTGTTTTGCATTTTTTTTTATTTGGTTTTAAAACATTTTATTATTGAGTGAATGAATTATGAGTTTTTTATTATTTTTTTTTCTAATTTGTTTGCTCCCATCTTATGAAACAGAATTTTATAAAGCTAAACTTGTTTCATGTACTATGTCACTAGCAAAGAGACTGTAAATTCACAAGTTCAATTCTTCTTATGAATGCTGAGGATGAAATGGATTTTGTAAATTTGCAAAATTGAATTGCTTAACCTGAAAGCTAATCTGTATTGGAAAAGATTTGAATTGGCATTTGAAAATAATCTTTTGACTCAGTGATAGTCATTTTGACCATAACCTGATATTATCAAGAATATGGTAAAATGATAAAAACAGAAAAATATATTAACAAAGAATATTCAATATCTATTTATTCTGGAATAATCATAAATTGAATGCAATTTCAACTGTTACTTATATAATCCTTTGAACTGTTATATTTTTAAAAATGCTTACAAAGTTACTTTTCTCAGTATGGTTAATCATTAGTATACTAAGTGAAAATTTAAGAATTTCTCACCTGAAATATTGTCATTATTATTCATTTTTGACTAATTTTTCTTTTCATTGATTATTATATCTAATACCATGAGTGTAATAAATAACAGAAATATAACAAAAGAAACAAAAATGAATAATGACAATGCTTCATCTCAGAAATTTGAACAAGTTAAAGCTATTATTAATAGGCATAAAAGTAAGAAAAATAAATAAAAACACTAGTTTAAAACTCCTATACTACAAATGGAAATAAACAACATGGCAGCATAGTTGCAATCAGAAAGATAAGCAATAGGCTCATATGACTTGTTTGAGCAACAAATGCTGATAAAATCTTGTAATAAAACTTGTAACAGCAATATCATGAAAAGAAAAGCTGGTAAGGATGAGAGTTATAAGTTCAAATCTCATCAAATATTTTCAATATTTTTGATCCATTCTGCATACAAAATAGTTATAGCATAATAGGCAATTTTCAGGAAATTTCATTATTTCCATCCTTCCAGAAATTTAAAAAAATTTCTTAACTTTTACAGTCTTCTAAAAAATTGAATTCTCTTAAAATCTGAATAAATGGTAGTTCAGAAAGTTTATAATATAGTGAATAGCAAAATGATAATTTTTTTTTTACCTGATCATCACAGAATCATGGCAGATTAGTATTAGCTTGATGAAATACTGCATCCTCTCTATTAATTCCAGATACTTTTTGTTGATTATTGCTTTCCATTGGTTTAATTGGGAGCTGTAATTGTTCAAATCAATCATTTGTTTCTCTAGATGTTCATAGTATTGGACTCCATTTTAATCCCATCATATGCAAATATTGCCTTCTTTAGATAAAAAAAAAAAAAAAAAAAAAAACATTTCCTTTATTTTATTTACTTTGTAATCTCTTTTATCCACTTTTTATCAAATGTCATAGTTTTATTTGAAATGGAACACTTTCAGTATGTTTAAGTAGCTAAGCAAATGTAGCAATTTTGTGCAGTAGTTACTTTTAATGTTTTTGCTTACATGAAAGTCAAAGCAACATAACCAAACCAGTACAAATGATTGTCAGTACTCGATTTAGCTATTTTGATTATGTTATTTCCTGTGTTATATAACAGTTATTCTCAGGTAATATAATTATTGTGTCACTATAAATGGTTAAATCAGTTAAAGTATAGGATACAGGTTCGATTCCTGTCAGAGGACTAATAATTTCTATGAAAATTTCTCGGACATTCAGGCCGGTAAATGTTGTTTAATATTGTTTATTATAAACTGAGCATTTACTTAAATATTTGTATGTATAAACATAAAAATGTCTTAAAATATATATATGTGTGTGTATATATATATATATATATATATATATAGTAGTGCTGTGAAAAAGTATGCCTAAGATAATATTTTAATTTTATTTTTCCAGGTAATCAACAATTCCTAATTAAACTATATATTCTTTAGGAGAAACAAATTAAATTAAATAAATTGCAACCACTTTCAAAAGTTTTTAACAAGCTAGAATAAAAATATTAATTAAAAATTTAAATATGCAAAAGTAAGTGAATCCTTACATTTACACTCCGTTTGTTTGTTTAGTGGCATATCAACTCCTTATGGGTCATTTAACGTCAACAACCCTGTCAGCTGGTGCTTCAGAATATGCTGACTGCACCTCTGCTGAGGGGCAAACCCCACCCCTAATGAGACCACATATTTGCCATGATGTCAGGGAACAAGATCCTGGTGGTTAGGGGCTTCAGCACTCAAGGTTAGATATTTCTGATTCCCACCATTTTGGCCCTTACTTGGACTAGACAGGTGGTTAGACAGGCTTGATCTGATTAATTGGCTGGTTGCATCAATCCCTAGCACCTATATGTTTAGTCCCGATTGTAATTTCAATATGCACTTGTGGCAAAAAGAATTGTTGTGTTCATTTTTCTAAGACAAAATTGTTGTGTTCAGCTGAAAATTAAATTTTTATTTGTGAAGTGAAAAATGCTAAGGTTAAAAATTTAATTTTCTGATGAATACAACAAATTTTTGTCTTAACAAACAAAACCCTTTTGACATTGTGCTAATGTCGAAGTACTCGGAACAAAATGAATATGCATCAACATGGTAATTTTCTTTCTTCCTTTAATAAGGATACTAAGAAACTTGTCCGTGATTATGAGAGGATCCTATTAAAAATAAGTAGACAAACGTTGTCTAAATTTTTTTTAATATATATATATATATATATATATATATATATATATATATAGTGAGGGGAAACATATTTGTAAACATACAAATTTGTAATTTATTGTATTTCCAACTAATGAATAAACATGCTTTTTACATAATTAACTGCACACAGATGCATAACTAAATATGCATAGAAAACAGAAAAAAATTTTGATTTAATAGAAATAAATACCATTTATCCATTTCAATGGGTGAAAACGTATTGTGACACTAAGTCATTGGCCTGTGGTCAACTCCAAGTCGCAGCGCAAAGCTGTGATATTTCTCCTACTAGTGTTTAGGGGTTGACTCTTAGTCGCTGCCACCAACCTGTGTCCCAGTTGATTGGTGGTCGTCACTGCCTGGTAGGATCCTTTGGTCAAAGTAGTCAATTTGAAAAGGCTTCACACCAGATGCAACCGGTTTGACACCAGCTCCATTGTTCTAAGCTCACTTCCAATGTCTGGTTACCAAAGCAACTACTTCGATCTCAAGCCTAATCTACCCACATTGTGATTTTGATCTTAGGTAGACGCGATCAATCAGGCATTGGGCCATAGTGTAAGATGAGTCTAAACTGGAGGCGATATCGCACAAGCATAAAGTAAAGAAGCTATTAAAAACCCAAGAGGTTCAAAATATGTTGAAAGAAACAAATTAACTTTTATCTGTCTGTTATATACAGAAGTGTGTGTTTTTCTCCCAACCCATATTTTTTTCCGGAGAGTGACACTTTTATGCTTCTTAGGTAAGTTCTGGTCTTCTAAGTCAACTGGTTTAGTTTTTAAGTGCTGGCTTAGCTTCTTTCATTAGTATAACTTGCTATTGGTAGGAAAGGTGAAGTTGGAGGTTGTGGAATCTCTCAATCAGCTTCTGCGAGGCAACACTCTGGTTCCTGCTATTCAAACTGCTGGACTGAAACTTCTCAACAACTACTGGCAAACTGCTTATATGGACACCAACCAAAAACCAGTGTGGGGTTAGATGCAGCCTGGGGTTTTTGGTAAATCCCAATTTCTGACAGGGGACCTCTTTGTTGTCTGGCTAGGAAAATTAATTGCTTTCCATTTTTGGGGGTTCCCTTCAGTCATGGGGAGAGGTTTCAGGATAGCTATCCTCCCAAACCCCCTCCTTCTAACATTGGTACCTCATACCAAATCCTTTCAGTGGGCGTTAATAATTTCCCCGTCTTTCTCATCAAATTACCTCCACCTATCACCATTGCCACCACTCGACCAATGGCGTCTTGGCCATGCAGGTGTGGCTAAGCTGGCCTCATTAAAATTATAAAGTAGAATTTTTGTTTACAAAATTCTCATTCTCACCGGTCAAAATTCTTAAGAATAACACATGGCTCTGTCTCTTAGAATCTTTGATATCTTTGATGCTCCTGGCG